GGAGGACCCGGCCGAGGGTGAAGGTGACAGCTGTAGACGGGGCGGGGCCGGGCGAGGTGCTGCACTTGGCGGGTCCTCAGCACTAGTATCAAATGGATGATTGACTGCGAATGAAGGAGTGTATGGGCGAGAAAAAAATCTCCTCTAGGATGAGTTTTTTTCCGCGCCATCATCCGTATTCACTCACGTTTGTCACTCACTGTTATGTTGTTAGAAACCCAGGTGCCTCTAACGACACCCCTAACGCGATGTTGTGGACAGAACAGGGATAAGAGGAGAAGTTTTTAAAGAGTTGGTCAATTAATAATGTGTTTTAGCTAAGAAGACTGATAGCCCCCTGGCGGCGAGAGGACAAACTGCCACACACAACACGTTCCTCATGTTCCTCAGTACTGTACAGCCTTCTGGTCCTAAAGTGTGTGTTAAACGGGAGCTGACGGTATATAACAAATATTAATAATAATGCAAAAAAAAAAACCCGGCAAAACTGACGTTCATATTTAGAGATATTTTAATCACAAAGTAAAATTTCATTTGTAACTGACTTGTGTATGAATTTCAGAAGCCTTGTTTACCTGACAATCCTAATATGATGTTCTTCAACTTTAACAACGGTGTGCGTGTGTGTGTGTTGTTCTCTTCACTGTGTACACTATCCAACATGATTTCTCTCACCAGTAAGAACGTTTATTAATAGAACTTAACCTTGAGCAAGTCACTCCGGAAACTGATCATCGTCAACACAAGAATATATATATATATATATATATATATATATATATATATATATATATATATATATATATATATAATCCTTTCTGGAAAGGATCAACTTTTGAAATGGACAACAAGGGCGGATTTCAGGGGGTCCTGGGGGTCCACCGCCCCCCTTTTCATCAGAAATTCCAATACTTCTTTAATGCAGTTTTGTACTCAGGTATTTTTGTATAGTTATAAGTAATTAATATTAACTTCAGAATATCTCCTAATATTAAGTGCACATGGCCTCAAAATGCCCAGCTGGATGGGCTCGCTTTGCTGGCCAAGTTCCCTCACCCAAAACTTCTTGGACCCCCCTTTTGATATTCCTGGGTCAGCCCCTGAAGAAGTACATGTTCCTTGTGTGCTGCTGCTTTCATGTTGAAATTAATTTGTCAGTGAACGAGCGAGTCAATCAGCAATAAGGCAAGTTTACAGCTGCTGGAACAACTAATGTTACCTAAATATTGTGAGAGAGAGAGAGAGAGAGAGAGAGAGAGAGAGAGAGAGAGTTCCCACATAACAGCTGCAGCAGGCCAGGCAGGGAAGAAGGACAAGGTACTAACGCCCTGGGGTCGACCACAACCCTTGAGGTACTGCTCCTAAACCCAGCCACCACCACCACGGGGCTACTGTCTCAAGGGTACACGCCACGCTACCACAACTACTGTCCTCTCCACACACACACACACACACCGTAATATTTTTGCTGGTGTAAATCTCGACGTAAAATGTGTATGAGGCGAAGAATCTCAAAAGGTGAATTAATTACTTAAGAGCGGAAACACCAGGTGCTTGATAATGAAGACAACATCATGTCTCTTTGCGTCACTCTCAACAGCTTCTATTCACCATCTGTTCACTATCACCAACTTATGTTCCTCTAAATTTAATACTGACAACAAATAGGGAGATGTGTAAAAAGAAACTCAGCACCGTATCAAAATATTGTAGACTATGGAATTGTGATAAAATAATACTATTTTTGTGTGGTTAACGGCCAAGAAAGAGATCAACTTTGTCTGACGATAGAGGGAATTAATGTAAGCTATACCCCCCCAGGTACTTGTAACTCGAAGCTTGGTTCACCGACTCTGGAAAAATGGATAGTGGATAGTTTTTGCACCAGACAGCAAGTGAAGCCACGATCAATAAGTGCTACAAAAATTTGCATATCTGATCTAAACCCTTTTATGACAGTGCATGAGGTATACTTAAGTAAGAAATTTATCCTGGATTTTCACAGCGAGTCGCACACCAGCAGGGTTGAGAGTATGTCAGTGCAAAGACAGTCATTTACAAAGTGACCGACTCGTGTTGATAGATTGTACGCTCTCTGCATATTGTCGTGAAAGGTCTCATATGTTGACTTTCTCCAGTATCAGTACACTCTTAAATGAAAATGTATATGTGCCTGAATTATGTAATGATGTACAGTAGCTAAAACAACTATCTGTGCATACTTTGTGGGAAACAATACGAGACCATGGACGATAAATTTTGGTATATGAGGGCTGTCACTAATCACACGTAAAATTTAGGAGCATATCGACCCCCACCTGCATAGATAGCTGTTTTAGCTACTGTACATGAGGTACTAGGAATCTATAGTTAAGTTTGAAATCGTCCCTTACTTGTTTTGATTTAAAATATTTTGTTGGACTGATATATTTTGAATTCTATTGTATATATTTACCATGTATTTATACTTTTGTCAATAAACTACTAAACTATATACAGCAAGCAAGTGATACCATACCTAACCTAACCACAACATATATTGGGACAACACCATCATAACACCATAACAGGACAAATTTGACACCATAAAAGACCGACATTACCACCACATTAGGCCATATAAACTTCACTACAGCAAGAAGGAAGGATCATACCTACCAAAACAACAACCAGGTCTTAACTCCTACCACAGACCTCCAAGTTGACCTCAGCTGACCTGTCACAGTGAGATCAGTATCCTTCATGTGACCTGACTCTTATAGCCCCAGTATCTTTGAAAGGACCTGACTTATGGCTCCAGTATCTTTGAAAGGACCTGACTTATGACTCCAATATTCTTCAAAGGACCTGACTCTTCAGGGTTCTTGTGTAGGGCAAAGATCTCACCCAAGCATCTCATCTCCAGAAGGGATCATTCAAAAGAAGTCTCATAGGTAGCCTTAGGGAGACAGTGGGAGCCTAGAGAAGTTAAGAGGAGCCTTTGGGAGATACTGGGAGCCTTTGGGAGATACTATGAGCCTTTGGGAGATACTAGGAGCCTTTGAGGGGCACCGTAAGAGTCAGAGAGTTACTGGAAGACTCGTGAGCCTCTTAGTACAGCCTTCTTGCCCCCAGCACAAGAACGAGTTCCTCACGTGGTAACACCCGCAAGCTTGGCGTGTGTACCTGTAGGGCGGCAGGGCTTGTGGGTGGTAGAATGTGTGGGTGGCAGGAAATGTGGGCGGCAAGGCTTGTGGGTGGTAGAATGTGTGGGTGGCTGGAAATGTGGGCGGCAGGGCTTGTAGGTGGTAGAATGTGTGGGTGTAAGGTAGGGTAGAATGAGGCTGGAAATGTGGGCGGCAAGGCTTGTAGGTAAATGTGAGGTGGTGATGGGGTGGCTGGCTTGTGGGTGGTGGCAGAGGTGGCTGTAAGCGGGGCGGCTAGGGCTGTAGGTGGTAGAATGCGTGGGTGGCTGGAAATGTGGGCGGCAGGGCTTAAGGGTGGCAGGAAATATAGTGGGTAAGACTTGTGAGAGGAAATAGCCAGGGGTGGTGTAAGGTGATGGGCATTTAATTATCGAGCTCAGTATGGAGTCCTGAGGTCAGTATGAGGTCAACAGGAGGTCGTGAGGTCAGTATGAGGTCAACAGGAGGCCAGAGCAGGGAGTCAGTATGGAGGTCGGAGGAGCAGCAAGAGGTCAACAGGAGGTCGAGGTCAACAGGAGGTCAGGAGGTCAACAGGAGGTCGTGAGGTTAGCGTGAGGTCAGTAAGGAGGCTCAACAGGAGATCGTGAGGTTAGCGTGAGGTCAACAGGAGGTCGTGAGGTTAGCGTGAGGTCAGTATGAGGTCATGAGGTCAACAGGAGGTCGTGAGGTCAGTATGAGGTAAACAGGAGGTCGTGAGGTTAGCGTGAGGTCAGTATGAGGTCATGAGGTCAACAGGAGGTCGTGAGGTCATGAGGTTAACAGAAGATCGTGAGGTCACCATGAGACATTACCGTGACGCGTGGCCTCAAGTCAACACTGAGGTAATGACCACAATAACATCAAGAACTGAGAGGGTGGAGGGCGGGATGGGGTGGGGCGGCGGCGTGTTCACCTCACCACTAATTGGCCATGGAGGAAAGTATGCACAGGTACATCTCATCTCCATCTCCACAGGGCAGAATGAGTTCGCTTAAAATTGCAACCTGTGATTATTGTCCAACAATTAGTACTCAACAACCGCGCCAGAAATTGAGATATTCAACGTTTAGGAAAAAAAAATTACAATATTGAAAAACGAAAGAATAAAACCTAACCTAACCAACTGTAAAATATAAGAGAGAATGTTTCTAGTAAAAGATATTATATAAATAACTCTAAAATAAGACTGAAAGATAATTATAATAAAATACTTCAACAGCATAATGTATGGGAAAAAATATATACCGGGGATGATATGAAGCTTCGACCCCCGCAAGCATACCAAAGAAAAATATTCCCCCCCCCCTCCCCACCGCCCCTGGACAAGCAAATAAATTCCCCTAATAAACGCATATCTTCCTAATCACCCAAAAATCACCCCATTATTCCACTAACAATCAATAACATCCAATGAAACTAATTTCGGTCCTGAACAAACACAAACTCATTCAAGTCTTAACTCTTGACAGTTTTTCTGGAGAATGAATGAGGGTGGGGGGTGAGGGGGCGGTCACGGGATGGGTGGGGACCTCAAACCTCGTCTCAGGCAAAGAGTCAGGTCAGGTGGGTCTCAGGTGAGTTGGGTGGGTCAGGTGATTTGGGTGGGTCAAGTGATCTGGGTGGGTAGGGTGGGTTAGGCGAGTCGGGTGATTCGGGTGGGTTCAAACACCAGACTCAATAGACCTTCCAACATCAACAAAAGGTGTGACGTATTTAGCTTATCGTGACACTTTATATTATCGATGTGAGAGAGAGAGAGAGAGAGAGAGAGAGAGAGAGAGAGAGAGAGAGAGAGAGAGAGAGAGAGAGAGAGAGAGAGAGAGAGCCAACACCTACCTGAGAGAGGAGAGCCAGGTTCCCCCCGGTCAGCAGTCAGACTGTAGGAGTGCTCGACCTTGACTGTGGGTGTTTCCTGTTGATGGGCCGCTAGGATGGTGCTGAGTGACCCCAGGGACCCCAGGGAGCTCAGCTGGGAGATGACCCCTAGGGAGGCCTCCGTCATGAGCCTGTCGTTGAGTACCACCCCAGCAGCACCGCCCAGTCCGCCGTTTTCCAGCATTCCAGACCAGTCCAGCTCACTCGCTGCCTTCAATGCCTCCTGCAAGAGAGATAAAACATTTATTATTTATATATTCACAAATTTGGTTTGTTTATTAGGAGAGGACTGTCAAGTATCCGCCAGGGTTGGGAGTAACCTGCGGGTAATCGATTAATACAGCAAGTAATATAATTCTTATGAGTACGATAGAAGGTCAAAATCTAAACATGTTTCCAATCATCTCTACTCCTGCTGTACCCTATGTGTTCCCCTTCACCTTGTCACGGGGAATACAATAGAAACATGTATAACTAATGCTCCAATATCCTCAGTAAATGTTTGTACTGACTAAATCTTTACCCAATAAATTCCAATCCTATCAAACTCGTAAACCGGTAATTAAACACATTGCTGGGTCATAAAATGTTCCTTCACCTCCGTATACTATAAAGGTCACTATCAAACTACTGTACTTGAAAAATTATAACTTATTGCGTCCTTCGAGTTGTCTTATTCACTCCAGGACGCAACTTATAATTTATTGCGTCCTTCGAGTTATCTTATTCGCCCCATGACGCAACTTATAATTTATTGCGTCCTTCGAGTTATCTTATTCGCCCCATGACGCACAGACAGGAATATCATCGTGTGTTTTTCAGAGGAGAAGGTTTGGCTGCCTGGCTATAATGAGAGGCAATCATCATCATTACACACTTGTTCAGAAGTAGTTACACGGTCTTTCAACTCCCAATGAAAATATCTATAGTTTAACCCTTTGCGAATCAGGGGGGTTTAAACCATCGTCCTCAAAAGGTTAAACCCATCGTCGTTAAAAGGTTTAAGCACCACGTTAACTCCCTACACCATGACATGTTAAAAGGGCACAAACCATTCTGACGATATACGGTACTCGAAAAAAAGTGACGTTATCCAAATTTAATGGATGACTGAATGATCTTTGTGTTCATCTTATATTTGTGTCCTTGAAAGATTATTATTATTATTATTATTATTATTATTATTATTATTATTGCAAAGGGACCAATGCCTCACCCAGTACTACTCCAATGATATAATAATCTTCATCATATTCTTAACTTTAGTATAACATTACTAAACTAGGGATGAGTCACCCAATCACCCCAATACACTGTAGATAACTATACTACTACTTCAACTAATCGAGACAACTTATTGGAGAAAATCACCAAAGTCATTAACCGATTGACACACCGAGAGAATTTTTCAGAGGGGCACAAAGGGTAAAAAAAAAATAATAATAATAATAAACTAAAATTGAATAAAAGGAAAAATGGAACAAATAAAAAGCGAAAATTAATTAAAAGAAAAAAGAAAATGAAACCGAAATAAAAAAAAACGAAAAATAGTTCACCAGCGCCGTGACAACTTTATCAACAAGAACTTAAAAGCTCGAGCCAAGAGTGGAAGTTATTTCAACTCTCTTTTCCTTTCACTTTCTCAGCTTCCTTCTCTCTCTCTCTCTCTCTCTCTCTCTCACACCAGGCACGAGTGGACAGACATAGATAATGGGAAGAGAAGGGTAATGGGGGGTAATGGAAGGGGTAATAGAGGGGGGGAATAGAGGGGGGAATAGAGGGGGTACGGGGGGAATAGAGGGGGTAATGGGGGTTATATAATAGAAAACAGAGGGCAGGGAACTGAGTATGAGTAAGGTGAGGGGAGTGAGGGTAGGGAAGGGAACTATGTGAGGAGAAAAGGGTGGGAGGGAACTGAGGGAAGATGGTAAATACGAAAGGAACAAAGGAGGGATTGAGAAGAGAGAGAGAGAGAGAGAGAGAGAGAGAGAGAGAGAATGATTATATACATACGTTGAACCAAAGCATTATCAGCTATCAGAGGAAATCCTCCAGTTACCAACCCCCCCCCCACGCTTAGCTTCCTGTCTCAGCTGAAGGACGACAACGCTCGAACTCACTAACGAAACCCGACACTCCGAACCTGAACCTTGAACCCTGAACCCCGAGATCTGAAGTTTCAAATTATTATAGCCTCATTTTTTATGCTTATTTATAGTCACAACAATTGATTCGGGGTTCGTTGTGTCAGAGTTTGAGATTCGAGGCGCCAGGGTTCAGTATATACCGCATCTTCAAATAAATGTCAAAACATAATATACTTACGGGTCATATAATCACTAAACACTACAATGATAAACTTAACAAAATAATAGAATAAAATACAAGTTATAAAAATAAATAAACACCACTGCTCACAGCCAATCAGAGGAGAGTTCACATACCGTGTAGCAGAACATGCGTCAATAATGTAAACACAGCAAGCAAAACAAAAATAGACCAATCATAAAAACAGGTTTGGGTAGATGATTATACCTCCTTCCCTCCTCCTCCTCCCCCCCAGGTTAAGGAGAATTTGCATATCACGTAGACAAACACATGCAAACAACATAAACACAAGGAGCAAGTAAACACAAAATCGCGACAAACAAGTGAAGTAAATTTGCGAGGTGTCGTCCTTAACACATGCAGCCAATAGCAAGAGAGGTTACATACCATGAAGACATACATATGGAAAAACACGAACACAGGAAGCAAACAGATACCAAAACGATAACAAAACACATATAACTTGTAACAGGTAACGGAGCCGCTTTCCCTAGGGTATATTTACCGTTAACAGGAAGACGATTTACATGTCATTCACTCACACACACACACACACACACACAACCAAACCAACACACGCAAAAAGTAGATAAAGTAACCAAAAACAGACCAAACGAGCAGCCAATAGGAAGAGAGGTTTACGATGCTACTAAGGCCGTAGACACAAGCACAACAAACAGGTAAGTCCAGGTAAATCTAGGTAAGTTAAGGTAGGAGGTGATGGTGTTTCCCTGAGGCTTTTAGTTAACCAGGTGTGTGTGTGTGTTTGTGTGCGTGTGCGTGTGCGTGTGTGTGTGCGTGTGACAAGAACAGCAGTCTTTGTTCACACCTGGTGTAGAGAGAGAGAGAGAGAGAGAGAGAGAGAGAGAGAGAGAGAGAGAGAGAGAGAGAGAGAGAGAGAGAGAGAGAGAGAGAGAGAGAGAGAGAGAGACTTGAAAAAAAAGAGAGAAAATGAGAGAAAATATATATACCACTCAAGTTTATATTTGGGTCACGAGTGGTGGTGTAACACATGGTCAGTGTCAGCAACAGGTGAGTGTGTGAGGTGAAGTCTGCGTCATTACCGGGGCGGGACCCCACCTAACATACTATAACATAACATAACCTCACTTACTATACACTATTCTTTCATTACCTGTCATAATACCACAATTTCCTCCCTTAATACATTATACTGTATGTCTATGTATTTAACTGTATTTCTGTAATGCTCTTCCTTATATTTTGTATTTCTGAAGTTTTAATCATTATTCTGTATTATATTATTTTTCATTTACAATCACCAATTACTTTTCTAAATCCCTGTTACGTATCCAGTCTTTAATAAATATCTAAATCACCAAAGTGTGTTTCTAAGTTTCTAATCGTCATACATTTCTAAATTTATTCCGTAAATTTAATTATCATCATCAAGTTTGTATTCGGGTTTTTTCATCCTAGAGTTAATTAATTAATTCATTTATTTCATCTATTCATTTATTTATAACTCATTTCATTTCGCATTGTTTCTATATTGACTAAAATATGTTATTTTAGATTCTTATCTGACTCAACTAAAGACATTCAATTTTACAACACTCATTTGACCCTTGACGCAAAAAACAACGCGTAGTACTTTTGTTTTTTTATTTGAAGTAACACATTAAGTTAAGACACTTATTTGAGTAGGTGTTTTTCCCGCGCTCTTTTTCAACTATGTAAACAAACCCGCATGAAGAATACCTGATGTGAGTTAAAAGCGATCCAATGCCACTGCTGTCTGTCTAAATCGACCTGGGAAAAGTATTCATTCCCTGATTTCATTTACAACTATTTCACCTCTTATACTATTTTCATTCTATTAACCCGGTACTTAGAAACCTTCCATATCAGGATAGGTTAAAGAAACTAAACTTGCATTCCCTGGAAAGACGAAGAGTGCGGGGAGATATGATAGAAGTATTTAAGTGGGTGAAAGGAATCAATAAAGGCGATATAGACAAAGTTCTTATAATATCCGAGCAGGATAGGACTCGGAGCAACGGATTTAAGTTGGATAAGTTTAGGTTTAGGAGGGAGATAGGAAGAAACTGGTTCACAAATAGGGTGGTGGACGAGTGGAACAAGCTTAGCAACTTTGTAGTAAGTGCGGGAACGCTGGGAAGTTTCAAAGGAGGCTAGATAGATTCATGGACGATAGAGAGTGGTAGTAACTCTCGACAGGAGCTGCCATGCACAGGCCAACCGGCCCATTGCAGACTCCTTATTTTCTTATGTTCTTATGTTAACAGGACAGATTTCAGAGTACAGTGACAGATTTCAGAGTACAGGGACACGTAGAAGTACAGAGATTTCAGAGTACAGATACAGAGTTTTCAGAGTACAAATACAAGTAAACTTCAAAGTATACACATTACATACGACTACTCAAAGGAAGTTTACATTATGACGTCACAGAATCTTGTAAACAAAAGATTGAGAAATGACGTATTATGGAATTTCAATAAGGGTGACATAAGGATCATGCGAGATCTGTGTGTGTGTGTGTGTGTGTGTGTGTGTGTGTGTCTGTGTGTGTGTGTGTGTGTGTCCAAGTGGTGAAGAGAAAAGCTGTATCTCCCCCCACCTTGTCAGAACATTTCTAATTGGTGTTTCGGTACTAAATTGATTATATTATATCTGTGTCCTATCAGTCGTCATATAACCTGCCTGGTGTTATGTATGAACCATTATATATCCCTACCGTTATACACATGCTAGATGACTACTGAGAGAGAGCCAATAAACTAAAGGACTTTACGGAACCTTGTTAGTCCACGGGATCATTCCTGCCGCCTTCACCGCCTCCTGCAGGAAAAGAAATCTTGAGGTAATATGGAGAATTCTGGGATACTATGGTGGTGGTGGTGGTGATGGTAGTGGTGGTAGTAGCGGTGATGGTGGTGGTAGTGGTGGTGAGGATGGTGGTGACGGTGGTGGTGATGATGGTGGTGAGGGTGGTGATGATGACGATGACATGAAAGACATTACTCAAAAAATATATAGAAGATGTTAATTTTCACACACACACACACACACACACACACAACAACGTAAATACATATTAATAGACAAGTTCTATGGAGCAAGAATGTGAAGGAACACTATTTAGGATATACGCCAAGACATCCTGTATGGACACCTTTAGGACACGTGGAGCATGTAGGACACTCTGGAGGACGTTGGCCTTGTATAAGACACCCTATAAGACACTGCCCTTGTAGAGTTACCCTATAGGACTCCCTGGAGGACACTTCTTTGCAGGACATCTTGAAGAACACTACCATAAGAAGGCTCGTAGGACACCCATAAGAGTCCTTTCACGTTGCAGGACGTCAAATAGCACCAGCAACGGACCTCCACACACACGGTACCTCAGGCAAGACACTCCCTTAAAGGACATTGGCTGCATGGCACCTGTGAAATGGGGTGGTCTGGTTTTTCAGAAATGAGAAACAGTATGACAGGTGGACAATATTTGACTACCTATGTCCGCATTGGTAAATATCTCAAGGACACACACACACACACACAAAAACACACACACACACAACACACATAGGAAGTACATTTATCAGAGTGAGTATCAGAACATGATTCAGTGAGTAGGTGGGAGATACTGTAGGGATTTGTTTTTGACAGATGGTGAGTACAGGTAGGATGGTAGTACAGTAGGAGCAGTGCAGGCAGAATGGTAGCAACAGGGGTAGGGGATGGTAGTGCGGCGGCAGGAAGGCAGCAGCGCAGCAGGGGGGTGACTTGGCAGCGTTAAGGCAGAATGGCAGCAACAAGGCAGGACGGAAGCAGCAGGCAGTGACGCGGCAGCACCGCGCAGGACGGCAGCAATAAGGGCAGGACGGCAGCGTCGCGCAGTGACGGCAGCAACAGGCAGGATGGCACATGCGCAGTGACGGCGAAGACAGGCAGTGACGGCAGCACGAGCAGGATGGCAGCAACAGGCAGGATGGCAGCGCCGGCGAGGATGGCGGCGCGTCGCGCAGTGACTGCAGCGACGAGGGCAGGACGGAAGCTTGCGCAGGATGGCAGCGCAGGATGGCAGCAACAGGCAGTGACGGCAGCCGCGGGGCAGGACGCAGCGACCGGTGCAGGACGGCAGCGGGCAGCAGGCAGGACGGCAGCAACAGGCAGGACGCGGCAGTGCCGAGTGCAGACGGCAGCAGCGGGCGCAGGACGGCAGCAAGCGGCAGGATGGCAGCAGCCGCGCAGGACGGCAGCAACAGCAGGACGGCAGCAACAGGCAGATTTGGAACGGCAGAGGCAGGACGGCAGCAATATGCGGACGGCAGCAACAGGCGTGACGGCAGCGGCAGCAGACGGCAGCACTATGCAGTGACGGCAGCGGCAGCGCAGGACGGCAGCAAGGCAGGACGGCAGTGCCAAGGTGACGGCGCCATGCGTGATTTGCAGCACAAGGGCAGACGCAGAGTTAAGGTGAGGATGGGCAGCAGCGAGGCAGGACGGCGCGCGGCAGGACGGCAGCGCGAGGCAGGACGGCAGCGCGCGCAGTGACGGCAGCGCAGGCGCAGGACGGCAGCAACGGCAGGATGGCAGCGAAAGCAGCAGGTTGGTTAAGGGCAGGACGGTTAAGGCAGGAGATGGGCAGTTCAGGCAGTGACGGCAGCAAAGGGCAGGACGGCGAAAGCAGCAGCGACGGCGAAAAGTTGCGCAGGACGGCAGCATCATGCAGGACGGCAGCAATAGCGCAGGATTTGTTAAAGAAGGCGTGGCGACGCAGCAACAGGCAGGATTGCAGCAACATGCAGTGACGGCAGCAACAGGCAGGATTGCGAAAAGATGCGTACCGGCAGCAACAGGGCAGGCTCGGCAGCAATATGCGGACTGGCAGCAATGCGCAGGACGGCAGCACGAGGCAGGACGGGCAGCGGTGGCAGGGATGGCAGCGGCAGAAAGGACGCGCAGATTGCGGCGGGACGGCAGCAGGCAGACGGCAGCATTGCGCAGGACGGCAGCACGCGCGGCATGGCAGCAACAGGCAGACGGCAGCAACAGGCAGGGGCGCAGCATTGGCGCAGACTGCGAAGCGAGGCAGGACGGCGAAAGCAATATGCGCAGGGGACGGCAGCATGGCGGAGACCGGCAGCAATATGCAGTACCGGCAGCAACAGGCAGGCTCGGCAGCGACAGGCAGGACTGCAGCAATGCGCAGGACGGCAGCAGCAGTGCAGTGACGGCAGCACTGGGCAGACGGCAGCAGTCGGCGCAGGACGGCAGCGCCGCGCAGTGGACGGCAGCAACAGGCAGTGACGGCAGCAGCAATAGGCAGGATCGGCAGCAACAGGCAGGGCAGCAGCAACAGGCAGGCCGGCAGCGCGGCAGGACGGCAGCACGGCAGGACGGCGGAAGGCGCGTAGACGGCAGCGTCGCGTGGAATGGCAGCAATATGCGGCGACGGCAGCGCTGGCGTAGGACGGCAGCAATAGTGCAGGATTGCGCAGGACGGCGTGCTACGGGCAGGATGGCAGCAACAGCAGGACGGCAGCAACAAGGCAGGACGGCAGCAACAAGGCAGTGATGGCAAAGGCTGCGCAGGACGGCAGCAACAGCAGGACGGCAGCAACAGGCAGGGCTGCAGCGTAACAAGTGCAGTGACGGCAGCAACAGGCAGGATGGCAGCGGCCGCAGGACGGCAGCATTGCGGTGACGGCAGCGCTGGCGTGGTGATGGCAGCACAGGCAGGATGGCAGCGGCATGCGCAGTGACGGCAGCGCAGCGCAGGACGGCAGCGCATTGGCGCAGGACGCAGCAGCATGGCAGGATGCAGCAGGCCGCGCAGGATGGCAGTAGCTGGCGGGGCAGTGACGCAGCGGCGCAGTGACGGCAGCACAGGCAGATTGGCAGCAACAGGCAGGACGGCAGCAACAGGCAGGATGCGTAGCAACAGGCAGGATGGCAGGTTGCGCGGCGGACGGCAGCGCCGCGCAGGACGGCAGCAATGCGCAGGATGCAGCAGCGGCATGGCAGGACGGCAGCACAAGGCAGGACGCAGCGCCGCGGCAGGACAGCAGCAGGCAGACGGCAGCAAGGCAGGACGGCAGCAGCAGCAGGATGAAGCAGCAGGATTGGCAGGCAGGACGGCAGCAGGCAGTGACGGTGCAGGCAGACGGCAGCAACAGGCAGTGACGGCAGCACGGCGGAGGACGGCAGCGGCGTAGACGGCAGCAGGCAGGACGGCAGCAAGGCAGGAAGGGCAGCAAGGCGCAGGACGGCAGCGGCCGCGCAGGACGGCAGCAAGGCGCAGGACGGCAGCAGCAATAGGCAGGACGGCAGCAACAGGGCAGGATGGCAGCTGGCGCGAGGACGCAGCAATCAGGCAGGATGGCAGCAACGGCGCAGGACGCAGCAATGGCAAATGCAGCAACAGGCAGGACGGGCAGCATTGCGCAGGATGGCAGCACGCGCAGTGACGGCAGCAATGGCGCAGTGACGGCAGCAATATGCGAGGACGCGAAAGCGGGCCGCGCAGGACGGCAGCAATATGCAGGATGGCAGCAACAGCAGCAGGATTAAGAAGCGCTGGCGGCAGGATTGGCAGCAACAGCGGCGCAGGATTTGCAGCGTCGCGCAGGACGGCAGACAGGCAGACGGCAGCACGGCGGACGGCAGCAATGGCGAGTGACGTGGTGCCATCATGCGCAGGACGGCAGCAACTGAGGGAAGGCAGCAACAGCGCAGGACGGCGAAAACGCGACTGCAGGCAAGGCAAGGCAAGCAGATGTGAAGGCAGGACGGCAGCGCGCGCAGGACGGGAAATGAGACGGGATTGGTCAGGGTAGCGGCGACTGCGAAAGGCAGGACGCGGGCATGATGCGCTGGCGTTATGACGGCAGCGAACATGTATGACGGGTAGCACAGGTAGGATGGATAGCAGGATGGTAGTAATATAAGTAGGATGGCAGCATTATAAGAGGTAGCAACAGGCAGGACGCAGCAATATGGCAGGATTGCAACAGGCAGGATGGTGAAAAGCAGGCAGGACGGCAGCAGGCAGGATGCAGCAGGCAGGGACGGTAGTGCAGGATGGCAGCAACAGGCAGGACGGTAGCAATAGGCAGGATGGTAGCGCAGGCAGACGGCAGCAGGCAGTGACGGCAGCAGGCAGGACGGCAGCAGGCAGGACGGCAGCAACAGGCGCAGGACGGCAGCACAGGCAGGACGGCAGCATGCAGGATGGCAGCAACAAGTGCAGGACGGCAGCATTGCGCAGGATGGCAGCAATATGCAGTAAGGAAGCATTGCGCAGGATGGTACAACAGGCAGGACGGTGCTGGCGCAGGACGGCAGGCTGGCGCAGTGACGGCAGTGGCTGCGGCGCAGGATGCAGCACAGCAGGACGCAGCGCAGTATACGGCAGCGCGTGGGACGGCAGCATTGGCAAGCAGGACGGCAGCACTG